CCAGTTATATTCCTATCAATATTATGAAGGCTTTTACAGAAGGGTTTGGTCATATATAATTCATAGCCTGAATTATATAACATTTTATACCTACAAACATGGCGAACATTTATATTTTAGGGCTGTTGACAGTATTTTCTGATTGATGGAGTGATACAAAGAGATATCCTAAATCCCTTCTGTAAAAACTTTAGATTCTAATATGACTACAAAATGAAACAAGAATTTTGAACCTGGCTTTATCCAAAGTTCAGATTTGTGTTCCTGAAATGTATTAAAATATGCGCATATTTAATGAGATAATCATTTGCATATTTAAACATGCTATTTCAGAAAACTTGTAATACAAAAAACTATTTCCTTATTGTAAGTAATAAACTAGAGAAATGTCTAGCTGATATATTTAAGTAAAACAAATTACCCTATTCACCTGTAGTGTCTCGCCTTAAGCATTTTGGTCAAATAAGATATATCAAGTGTGAGTCGATGTGCTCTTGCCATATGTGCTTGGAGCATTCTTCTTTTTGAGATGTCAAAATAGAGACCTAAAGCATTGAAACTCAAATGTGTTGTAACAGTTCTACGTCCTGTAACACCAATTCATTTCAAATATTGTGATATTCTAAATCTGTTTTTTTATTTTACACTTAAAACAGATGCAGGAGTCGATACTCCAGACACTGACAGTCCAGCAACCATGGCCAATCCCAACAGCACCCAGTCCAGCAACCGTGGCCAATCCCAACAGCACCCAGTCCAGCAACCATGGCCAATCCCAACAGCACTCAGTCCAGCAACCATGGCCAATCCCAACAGCACCCAGTCCAGCAACCATGGCCAATCCCAACAGCACCCAGTCCAGCAACCGTGGCCAATCCCAACAGCACCCAGTCCAGCAACCATGGCCAATCCCAACAGCACCCAGTCCAGCAACCATGGCCAATCCCAACAGCACCCAGTCCAGCAACCATGGCCAATCCCAACAGCACCCTACAGACTCTGTGTAAGAAATACAAATCTAACTATGAGTTGGTCTCTCAGCTCTGCATATGTACCAAGAAGAACATTCATTATCTCTGCTAAGGAAGTTATGTTTTTGGTACTGTGTGTATTACTGTAAGGTAAAAACAACTAGGCTTTTTAATATGAAACTTTGTGGAAGGGTATATCATATATATATCATGGGCCAGGGAAAAGTGTTTTTTTTCAATTCTGGAGCAGTTGGTACAGTTTTGGAAATGATGTCTCGTGTTTCTCGTGTGTGCCCTTCTAGTTGATTCTGTTTCTGAAAAGTAATTATGTATTTTTGTGTCTTATAGCAAACAGGTCTACAAACATTGATAGTCCAGACACTGACAGTCGGGCTTCCATGGCCAAGCACTGCAGGACCCTTCAGAGTTGGTACCCTGACTATGAGTCTGTCTCTCAGCTCTTGGGCTTGGAGTATGCAGCCAGAAGAGCATTCATTGATTCTGATGAGGACAACAAACACCAGAAGATTCTGGAGGCATATCCTTGTTTCAGGGACATTAGACATGTGAGTAATTATTAACTATCCATTAGTCAGAATGTGAACAGGTATTATTTTTCAATTCGCTCCTCCTAAGTGATAGTTTCGATCTCTGTTTTGGTTTATTGGATATTTGATAGGCAATGGGTGAGCTTCGACGTCTTCTGGACAAGGATAGCAGCCACAGCATTGATGAAGGAAAGATGGCAAGACTTCTGCCAGAAGGTGCCGTTTTATGGCGTATGGAATAAGATGCTGAAACCTCCAAAGGTAAGTTATAATGTTATGTTGGGGTTAGTTGGACGTACATTAAGGCATGTTTAGAAGGTAAGTTATAATGTTATGTTAGGGTTAGTTGGACGTACATTAAGGCATGTTTAGAAGGTAAGTTATAATGTTATGTTAGGGTTAGTTGGACGTACATTAAGGCATGTTTAGAAGGTAAGTTATAATGTTATGTTAGGGTTAGTTGGACGTACATTAAGGCATGTTTAGAAGGTAAGTTATAATGTTATGTTAGGGTTAGTTGGACGTACATTAAGGCATGTTTAGAAGGTAAGTTATAATGTTATGTTAGGGTTAGTTGGACGTACATTAAGGCATGTTTAGAAGGTAAGTTATAATGTTATGTTAGGGTTAGTTGGACGTACATTAAGGCATGTTTAACACAACTTCATATTGGCTTCATTCTTTTCATCTGCGATGGAGGTTTAACTGTTTGTTGAATGTTCATGTTTTTAAAGCATCACATCTATACTAGACTGTTGTTCAGATTTGACCTCCTGCAACATGTACTTTTCCAAACAGCTGAACAGGCTAAGGATCCTGCGTGTGCTCACTGTTCCCCTCTCCGTCTGCTCCTCCAAAGAAGCTAAGAGATGCAAGTGAGGCTCTGCTGCATGTCCTCCAGGTGAGTCAAACGTAGCAGGATCATGTTGACTGTCCAAAGCAACAAGAATGCAGTATTCAATATGTTAGGAAAGTACCATATGGATTTGTTCGACCCAGTACTATTGTGGAACACGTTCATTACTTATGCAAGGACCAGGCACAACACATTGATCACAGGAAAAACATTTGAATGACCTATTTTTAATAAGATAAGAAGAAAAAAGGTTGAATTTAACCATTTTATTTTTGAATATGAGCACCTTGCTTATTCATTTGAATTCTATTAATTGTTTTCTTCATCAAGGCACAGGTAATTCATTGAATTGTGAAAAATAAATAAAAGAATGAATTTCAAAAAAATGAATTTCTTGATTCAGCTTGCAGACAGTAGAAGAAATGTTATCCATATTTAACCTTTTTTAGAATATTTTATGAATTGTAAGGTGTCCTAAAGGTGCCTCTAAATCAAATGTATTATTATGATGCCTTCAAAGACACTGTAATGAACACAAGGGTTTGTTGTAGCTCTAATGAAGAATAGCCTGGTAAACCTAACCAATACTAGCAAACGGACATATTCATCCTTACATACTTTAAACCTTGAGTTCATGCATTGAAGACAGTTAAAAAGGCTTAAGTTTACAAATAACCAAAATGAACTTTAAAACAATAGTGCATGATCCTAATGGACATATATTTGTGTTATAGGAAAAAGAAGACCCCAGTTCCTACTTGAAGAAACGACCTCTCCCGTGTCCAGTCCTGATTGTGAGCTCGTGCAGCTGCCTCCTGGCCAGAGGTGATGCCTTGCCCATATACCTTATGGCCTTTCACCTTACATACCCCAAGTGTGTAGCCACCCTGCTTCCAGTCATACAAACAGAGATCCTCTTGGACACAAAGACCTCACACCATCCTACAAGAAAGGCCGAATGGAAAGCTTTTCTTGGCCAATAGAAAAGTGATATATGGCCAGATGTCATTCTCAAGTTCTGTTATTCTATTCCAGGCCACTGAAGTTTGTGTTTCACAGTTTTAATGTTCATTCATTATCTCTGCTAAGGAAGTTATGTTTTTGGTGCTGTGTGTATTACTGTAAGGAAAAAACAACTAGGCTTTTTAATATGAAACTTTGTGGAAGGGTATATCATATATATATCATGGGTTAGGGTTAGGGGTATATCGTGGGCCAGGGTTAGGGGTATATCATGGGCCAGGGTTAGGGGTATATCGTGGGCCAGGGTTAGGGGTATATCGTGGGCCAGGGTTAGGGGTATATCATGGGCCAGGGTTAGGGGTATATCATGGGCCAGGGTTAGGGGTATATCATGGGCCAGGGTTAGGGGTATATCATGGGCCAGGGTTAGGGGTATATCATGGGCCAGGGTTAGGGGTATATCATGGGCCAGGGTTAGGGGTATATCATGGGCCAGGGTTAGGGGTATATCATGGGCCAGGGAAAAGTGTTTTTTTTAATTCTGGAGCAGTTTGTACAGTTTTGGAAATGATGTCTCATGTTTTCTTGTGCTCATTTCCATGTAAGTACTTTGCCGTGTATGCTCCTGTAGTTCACTGGTAGAAAATAAACTGCTAAATTAAAGACATGTTTTCATTTTCACACTTATTTGGAGAATGCGATAGTTCTAGATCTGTATCGCCATTGTAGAGCTTGACTTAATAATAGTAGTAAACGCTTAATAGGAGTATTTCCAGCTTACTTAAGCCACATTTTCTCTTAAATAATACTTGCACATCTTATTTCAAGTAAGAGTCTCATATCATATAACTTAAAATAAGGGTAAATGGTCCTGAAATGAAAGAATCTAAAAGTTTATTTTGAGTGAAAAATACTGTTTTTGATCATTTTTGGCTCTTTTCTGTAACATAAGATTTCCTAATTCTGGTCAAATGAAGTTCAAAGTGAGTTCTCCCAGCTAGTTTCAAGATCTCATGTATCTAAATATCGCATCTTATTTCAAGAAATCTTACCAAGCTAATGTTCACTGGTTCTTATGGCAGATTATTTTGCTCATAACAAGCGAAAACATCTTGTTTTCATGTTTTTACTAGTTTTTGGAAGGGCTGTTTTTGGCCCTGATTTTCACTGATCAAATATGAATTCATTGCCATTGATAGGAGACATCCTGAATTATAGGTGTGCTTACATTTTTACTATGTGTCATTACTCCTTGCTTAGAGGACAGCTCAACTTACCCCACTCTCCCCTATAGAGACAGAAGTGTTGGGACACTCCTCAGAATCATTGAATTCAGGAGTTTCCTTCAGTCCCATTGCCTCAGACGTATAAAGGCACCTGGCCGTGCAGTCTGCCTTTACAAACATGTGTGGAAGAATGGCTCGTTCTGAAGAGCTCACTGAATTCAACGTGGTTCTGTAACAGAGTGCCACCGCTGCAACAAGTCAGTTCATTTCTCCTAGATATTCCACCATCAACTGAGAGAGGTGTTACTGCAAAGTGGAAACGTTTAGGATCCACAGCAACTCAGCCAGGAAGAGATATCAGACATGTCTAATATTACAGTTTAACAACATCTTCTGTTTGTGAGAATGAAAAAGATAAAATATGAACATGAAGACATTGAGGTGTAAATACATTTTTATTGAGACAAAGAAAAACCCTTCATATGTAAAAACAGAAACTTTGATCACAGAGAAAAATAGACTTATTCTGGAGCTCTTTTAATTAAAACACAGCATGACAGAATATCAGTTAATTCATTTGTTTGATATGAAACTATCCAAATAATTGTGTTCGAGGATCCTTTAACAATTACTAATTAATCAAAAGTACTAATCCATCAATAGACTGTTGCATTATGGGAAACGTGTTCTCCAGGGAATCAAAGCTCTGTTGCATTATGGGAAACGTGTTCTCCAGGGAATCAAAGCTCTGTTGCATTATGGGAAACGTAGGCCCCAGGTAATCAGAGTCCTGATGCATTGTGGGAAGTAGGCTCCAGGTAATCAGAGTCCTGATGCATTGTGGGAAGTAGGCTCCAGGTAGGGCTGTGATTGGTTGATTTCCTCTCCCTGCAGCACGGTCATTCATTCAAACGTGTTTTCACATTAACTTCATAAAATATGAAAGTGTAAATCATCTTGAGGCACGACGCAGGTATAAAGGTTATACAGTTTACAAAGATTTAAAAACCAGACGTTATAGAAAATATTTTTGTATTAAACGACAGATTAGCGCTGAACGATAATCAGAAATTATCGTATTCACCACTTTAAAAAGGCAACATATAAATAACTTTTAAAATATAAACTCATATCGGTACAAATCCGCACATTTTAATATGTTTTAAACTAAACGAGAAAAATTACTAACAGTTCCTCAATCAAACCGTAAAACTGCAGCGTCAAATGATTACGTATTTTACACAAACCGTCAGCCGTTCTACAAAGAAAACGTTTTATTATCAATTTAGTTTCCTTATTTATTAATAAATCAATGATACCCCTAAACCCCTAACCCAGCCTAACTCAACTAAACTCATTTAATAGTATTATCAAAATGATCCAGATGAGTTTATATTTAAAGATAATCCCGATAACAGTCATATCATAAAGGTAATCCAAATGACAGTTATATATATTAGAGTTATTCCAGATGAATATGATCAGATCTCCTCAGGCCTGGTCTGGTTTGGGGCTCTCTGAGACGTTCAGGGACTCCACAGAAGATTGTTCGTCTGGGAGCAGCTCCTCCTTATCACTGCAGGGACAAACACATTTCATTATACCGCAGCCTATTTGATCACATACAGTACACACATATATATATATATATATATATATATATATATATATATATATATATATATATATATATATATATATATATATATATATATATATATATATATATATATATATATATATATATATATATATATATATATATATATATATATATATATATATATATATATATATATAGGTGTTACCTGAAGGAGGAAGGGAGGCGGGACAGACGGTGGCGTCTCAGAGTGATGATGACGAGGGTCGTCAGCAGCAGAGTGGAGACAACCGCCAGCGTGACGAAGAGGAAGACGGCTGTGAGAGGAGGAAGATCATAAACATCCTGTCAGAGACATCAACATGAGGGGAGAGCACTGTTACACTGGGGCGTCCAGGGGTATGACCCAATACGGGTATCGACGGACACGAGTATTCTGAAGTACGGGTATCTTGAAACACGGTATCTTGAAACACGGTATCTTGAAACACGGGTATCTTGAAACACGGCTATCTTGAAACACGGGTATCTTGAAACACGGTATCTTGAAACACGGGTATCTTGAAACACGGGTATCTTGAAACACGGGTATCTTGAAACACGGGTATCTTGAAACACGGGTATCTTGAAACACGGGTATCTTGAAACACGGGTATCTTGAAACACTGAAACACGGGTATCTTGAAACACGGGTATCTTGAAACACGGTATCTTGAAACACGGTATCTTGAAACACGGATATCTTGAAACACGGGTATCTTGAAACACGGGTATCTTGAAACACGGGTATCTTGAAACACGGTATCTTGAAACACGGGTATCTTGAAACACGGGTATCTTGAAACACTGAAACACGGGTATCTTGAAACACGGGTATCTTGAAACACGGGTATCTTGAAACACGGGTATCTTGAAACACGGGTATCTTGAAACACGGGTATCTTGAAACACGGTATCTTGAAACACGGGTATCTTGAAACACTGAAACACGGGTATCTTGAAACACGGGTATCTTGAAACACGGGTATCTTGAAACACGGGTATCTTGAAACACGGGTATCTTGAAACACGGGTATCTTGAAACACGGGTATCTTGAAACACGGTATCTTGAAACACGGGTATCTTGAAACACTGAAACACGGGTATCTGAAACACGGGTATCTTGAAACACGGGTATCTTGAAACACGGGTATCTTGAAACACGGGTATCTTGAAACACGGGTATCTTGAAACACGGATATCTTGAAACACGGGTATCTTGAAACACGGGTATCTTGAAACACGGGTATGAACTACCCATTTTGAAGATTTGATCCAGATTAAAGCTTGGATTGGATTTCCTGATCTGATCTGATCTGATCTGATCTGATCTGATCTGATCTGATCTGATCTGATCCCAAAGTGATCCTGATCCTGTTTTTTGGTTTTGAACTACCCAAAATCCAAATCCGATCAGATAGATAGGGATTAAAAGTTTTGAACTACTGGGCCCTGGACCTTGAAACACGGGTATGGTCGGACAAAGGGATCTTGAATCCCGGGTATCTTGCAGATGGATGATTGTAACGTTAAGGAGAAGCTCTTTGTCCGTCAGAATGTTGTTAAATATTTCAGGATTAATCAGTGTTCCTCTTTAGATCTCCCACTGAAGGAACAATAACGAACACAGGAAGTTTAATGACGTGTTGTTTAGACTTTACATTAAAAACTGACCTGCAGTCCAGCGGTCACGAGCTTTCCCACGAGTGTCAAAGGAACCTGCACAACAAGACACAGCGTCACACACACAGCGTCACACACAGCGTCACACACAGCGAGACACACACACACAGCGAGACACACACACACAGCGAGACACACACACACACAGCGAGACACACACACACAGCGAGACACACACAGCGTCACACACACAGCGAGACACACACAGCGTCACACACAGCGTCACACACACAGCGAGACACACACAGCGTCACACACAGCGTCACACACAGCGAGACACACACACACACAGCGAGACACACACACACACAGCGTCACACACAGCGAGACACACACACACAGCGAGACACACACACACAGCGAGACACACACACACACAGCGAGACACACACACACAGCGTCACACACAGCGAGACACACACACACAGCGAGACACACACACACAGCGTCACACACAGCGACTCACACACACACACACAGCGAGACACACACACACACAGCGAGACACACACACACACAGCGAGACACACACACACAGCGTCACACACAGCGAGACACACACACACAGCGAGACACACACACACAGCGTCACACACAGCGACTCACACACACACACACAGCGAGACACACACACACAGCGAGACACACACACACACAGCGTCACACACAGCGACTCACACACACAGCGAGACACACACAGCGAGACACACACACACAGCGAGACACACACACACAGCGAGACACACACAGGGTTACCTGTGTTCTGGCAGCGAGTCATGCAGTCCTCCAGGCTGCTGTAGCGGTTCCTGTTTCCTCGGCACCCCCCATAGAGGAAGGTCTGGCAGCTGGCGGTGTTCAGGTCGTAGTAAAACATGGGGAAGGCCGCGCGGCAGGGCCCGGGGTCAGAGGTCACCGTACAGGCCTCTGAGTCTACAAACAGAATGATGCCCAGGGTTAGGGTTACCCTGACCCTAGGTCACCTAGGTCACCGTACAGGCCTCACACCTGAAGAATAAAAGGTGTGCAGACCTCTGACAGGTATCTGAAACATGGTGACGTACCTGTATCAGCTGCAGGGGGCGGGGCTTTCTTTGAGGATGGCAGCACTCTGACTGCAGAGAGACAAGAGTCCATTAACAACAACAACTTACCTGTACAGGTACAGACAGTCTCTCACCTGTACAGGTACAGACAGGTGTCTCTCACCTGTACAGGTACAGACAGGTGTCTCTCACCTATACAGGTACAGACAGGTGTCTCTCACCTGTACAGGTACAGACAGGTGCCTCTCACCTATACAGGTACAGACAGGTGCCTCTCACCTGTACAGGTACAGACAGGTGTCTCTCACCTGTACAGGTACAGACAGGTGCCTCTCACCTATACAGGTACAGACAGGTGTCTCTCACCTGTACAGGTACAGACAGGTGCCTCTCACCTGTACAGGTACAGACAGGTGCCTCTCACCTATACAGGTACAGACAGGTGCGTCTCACCTATACAGGTACAGACAGTCGTCTCTCACCTGTACAGGTACAGACAGTCTCTCACCTGTACAGGTACAGACAGTCTCTCACCTGTGCAGGTACAGACAGGTGTGTCTCACCTGTGCAGGTACAGACAGGTGTCTCTCACCTGTGCAGGTGTCTCTCACCTGTACAGGTACAGACAGTCTCTCACCTGTGCAGGTACAGACAGGTGTGTCTCACCTGTGCAGGTACAGACAGGTGTGTCTCACCTGTGCAGGTGTCTCTCACCTGTACAGGTACAGACAGTCTCTCACCTGTGCAGGTACAGACAGGTGTCTCACCTGTGCAGGTACATACAGGTGTCTCTCACCTGTACAGGTACAGACAGTCTCTCACCTGTGCAGGTACAGACAGGTGTCTCTCACCTGTGCAGGTACAGACAGGTGTCTCTCACCTGTACAGGTACAGACAGTCTCTCACCTGTGCAGGTACAGACAGGTGTCTCTCACCTGTACAGGTATAGACAGGTGTCTCTCACCTGTGCAGGTGTCTCTCACCTGTACAGGTACAGACAGTCTCTCACCTGTGCAGGTACAGACAGGTGTGTCTCACCTGTGCAGGTGTCTCTCACCTGTACAGGTACAGACAGGTGTCTCTCACCTGTACAGGTACAGACAGGTGTCTCTCACCTGTACAGGTACAGACAGGTGTCTCTCACCTGTACAGGTACAGACAGGTGTCTCTCACCTGTACAGGTAC